CAGTCCTCAAACGGTCTCTATGCAAACTCAAGAGGCGCTCGCATCGGATTTTTCCTTTTAGTAAAAGTCCAATTTTCATTCAATTCAACTGTTGTTTTTCCTCTCCATTACATTTGTGCCAGAAATGAAACAGTTTCTTTAAAAATGCTGCTATTCAATTGAACGTTCACTCGAAAACGAGCTGGCCGTGCCGTCGTTTCACTATATTTTCGTTTAAAATGGTTTCACTCTCGAAAAATGAAACTAGAAAATGATTGGAAATATTTACACTCCTGCTCGAAGAAGTAGCTCAGCATTTAGACAGTTAAACGAGAGCCGCTTAGAGGAGAAGAAAAAAGTATGGTAAGTGTCAGAATTGTAACATTCCCTCCTACCAATCACTCAGCCTAGCCTGCTTACGCTGCTTTCTTTCAATTATGAGCTTCTTAAAACAATTTAAAAATGCGCATGCAAAATTGAATAATATAATTCATTAGCAAGGATTGGACTTATAGGTCAAAAAAATAAAGATGTATGTCTTTGAAAATGTCAAAACAAGGTGAATGACTCATAAGCTACATTATTTTTCAGCACTGATGATGAGCTATTTACGTTTGTATTTCATATACGCTTCAGCACAATAAAATGTAAACTTCGTTTCTAAAGCACCGTCAAGGTATAACTGCAACTCTCTCCACTTGATTGATGAGTAATGACGCTTTCAGCCAGTTTGACTTGTTTGTCGCAAAAAAAATTAAATAGCTGATTACAGTTTTGATATAAACTCAATAGATTCTTATGATGCCTCTTCAAATGCACCATTTTTAAAAACAATTTTAAATAATCGATTTTTTCTAAACGAATTGGATGAATAATCGTTAAAATTTCTGATTGACTGGTACCAAATTGATTGATGAAACGTAAAATTTTAAAATGATTAATAACCGTAAGCAAAATTAATCAATTCAAAAAACACTTGCTTGTTACGCTAACCAATAGTTTTAGCTAGTGATTAAAGAAAAATAAAAATTGTTTATGGGAATTGGTATTAAGTCCTTAACTTAGCAGGAAGTTTTCCATTAATTTATCTCAAATTGCAAAAACAATTAATGTTCCGACTTTCGATACGAAAGTAACGGAATATTTGTGCTCGGGGTGGGTTTTTTTTCTTCAGACAAATTTCGACTTTTTAACTAGCCATTTTTGACAGAATTTTTTATATCATTCGAAAACTATTGGTGTCCTGAGCCTAAATTTGAAAAGATATTTTACCTGTGATCATTTTTCGTAAAGTAATGAGGGTTTAAAGATTGCCATTTTGGCCATTTTGACCAATTTGGGACAATTAACGCGCGATATAATTCGCGCTATTAACGCGTAAGCGGCGATTTAATCCGTTTTAGAAATCGTTCCAAATTGGTTGAAAGAAGCTTAGTTGCCATAATTGATTTGTTACAAGGAACGAAATCTATTGTTTTGTACTTTATATGGCGTGTGGGAAGATGACTTTGATTTTCATGGAAAATTTTTCAAATTTTAGCTAAATTTTTTTTTCATTTTATTTTATTTCATTTAATTTTTTTAATGTTGTTTTTGTTATTACTGCTCCATAAACTTTAAAAGCCAGTCAGAACTTTCAGGGCTTTGCCCTGATACGAGCACTCTTGTTTGCATTTTTGTCAGAAACAGTATATTTCGAGACTTGAAAATTTCCCGTTGCAGGGGATGATTCGTAAGTAGGTGCAAAACTCCGATTATGCTTGGCCTTTGAATTAGTTATTGTTTCTACTTTCGATACAAAAGTGACGGAATATTTGTGCTCGGGGTGGGTTTTGTTTTCTTCAGACAAATTTCGACTTTTTAACTAGCCATTTTTGACGAAATTTTTTCATATCATTCAAAAGGTATTGTTGTGCTAAGCTTAAAATTGAAAAGATATTTCACCTCTTATCATTTTTCGTTAAGTTATGGGGATTCAAAGATTGCCATTTTGGCCAATTTGAGGCATATTAATGCGCGATATAATTAGCTATATAGACATTTTTTGAACTGTCGGACAATTATTTTTCCGAACAAAATCCAAATCTCCAAACCTTAGATTTGTTTAAGCTGTTTAACTACTCTGTTTTTGCCTTTCTGTTTTGTTTTAATATTGAATTGATCATTGAAGTCGAAAAAAAAACTTTTAGACCACTTAATTTTTCTTTTTTTAAATGAACCTATGGACCCTTATAAATTCCAACCAGGAAGCGTGCTTATCCTAAACACATTCACACCTTAATTTTTAATAAGTTCGCGTACACAGACACGAGAACACATTCCGACACTCACTTTCACACACACGCGCGCACACACACATTACTCACGAGCACTCAGAAATTTTAACATTATCCACCGCCCTGGAAACATTGGACCTGGAAACTTTTTTGCCCATCCAGTTTTGGTCAATCAGTGTTTTACTATAGTAACAACAAAACTGCAATAATGGTAATTTATGAATACGAGCTCTCACTTAATCGCTAGCTTCAGGTCTATCATAGACCGACTGAAAGAATTGTGCCTTGTGCAGGTTATAGGCGCAAAAAAGGCCTTGGGTTACAAAAAAAGAGCTTCGCTCAACAAAGCAACTCATTCTGGAATGTGCGTAATTAAAAGAACGGACTTTGTTCAGACATGCTTGAAAGCTTTTCATAGATCCTTCGTGAATTGCATAAATATCAATTAAGTTACAGTTACAAATTTGTTCGAAAAAAAAATACCAGAGAGAAATTTTCTATTTGAAAAAAAGATCCATGATACAAAGATATTAATAACACAATTATTACGCAGAATTTTCAAATTTTTTTTGCACAATTGGAACCAGTTTAAAACTAATATTTATATCCAATTATATTATTGATAAAACTATCTCTGTAAAGTATTTCTAACTAATCAATCATGGTCCTAACTAAAACTTCCTAAAAATTGTATAGCTGAAGCTATTCATAATTTCAGCAAACAGAGCAGAATAATTATTATTGAACAAACAGTCGTTCTCCTTCAGAATAGTTACTGATACCTTATCTCGCAGATAACAGTATACACTAAATTTATTGAGACAAGGCGTTATAAGTTTAAGATTAAGATCGGTATTAGACTAAGAAGTTTCACGAATCTATCCGGCCGTAAATTAGATAGCGTGACGAACAGACGGTGTATTTATCTGAACTTACTCTATGAGTGAGCCACCCCGGATATAAGCTAATCTGGTGCGACCAAGAGTCTCGAACAAAAACCCCAATAAATTTAGATTTAGCAAATTTAAAATAGACATAAGATCTAAGATCAAAACACAAAACATAAAAATGTTAAGAAGTACTGAAAACTTACCTCAACGTCTCAATAAGTCTAATCAAAACCAACGAGTATCCAAGCTTACACGAGGTCACAACTTGAATAACGGACCAAGCCTCTACATCGTGAAACCAAAGAACCAGACGGCAACGACTACTTGTCTACAAGATTATCAATGCAGTACATTCTCATTCACTAGCATGAAATAATTTACTTGGAGAAGTTAGATTCATTTCCAAGCCATACACCTCTCAAGGAGGTATCACCGATAATATATAAAATTTTAATGGCTGATTACAAAAATACTAATATTGTTCATTTCCAACAAATCTGCAGTAACTTTAAAACTTTTGTAAGCTTGAATTTAATTGAGTTAAAAATAATAAAAATTATTTAGTAAATTAATTCAAAGTTAGTTTTACTAATTTTATAAAAGTTCTTGGCTTCTAAAGGACTCACATCTTGATCCTCGCACAAATAAAGCTTCATTGTTCTTTCATCTAAAAGATAACAATAGTCACTCAGAATTTAATATCATTCAAATCTTTAATTTTTGAATCAACCCTTTCTTAAATTTATAATCTTTCTCTAAAAATTAAACATTAAACTTAAAACTCTCTAAACCCCAGATGAGTGGAACCGGTTCAAAACTAGTATTTACATCCAATTATATTATTGATAAACTAATCTGTGTAAAATACTTCTTACTATCCACTCATGATCCATAACTAACACTTACTATAAATGGTATAGCTGGAACTATTCATATTTTCAGCGACAGAACAGAATAAATATAATTTAGCAAAGAGTCGTTCTCTTTCAAAACAGTCCCTGATATCTTACTTCGCAAACACCAGCATACACTAGATCTGTTGAGACTGGGAGATATAAGAGTAAGGTTAAAATCGGTATTAGGCTAAGAAGTTGCACGAATGTATCCGGCCGAAAATAAGATAGCGTGACGAACAGAATGTGAACCTTATCTGAAATTACTTTATGAGTGAGCCACCCCGGACATAAATTCACAATGATAAAACTTTTGATCTTTTCAACTGCTACTTGATTCACTCCAGAAAAATTTCAGTTTGGCATATCGTTTCATTTGACGTCTCTCAGTGCTTTCTTTTTTCACGGAGGAGAAAAAAACACCCACCCGAATACAAAAGTTCTCCTCGTCTTCTGTAATCAGCACATATCAACCTATTACCTATGATATGCTAAAACTTATTCTGAGTGGAACGAAATGGTTCGTTCTTTAACTTTAGTAATTCGCAAGCCAAGAAATTCATAGGTTTTCAATCCAATAATTTTTTCTAAATAATGTTTATTCAACATTTTGTCAAACTTGAAATGTTTTTAATTAAATCTACACAAATCTATTTCTTCTGCTGTTTTTTTATTAATTTTGTTTCTTCGCAGCAACTGCGAGCCAGAGTTGCCGTAAGTGCTGATCATATGACATTTTTTCATATTCTCATTCTTTCTCGAATCTGTTTGGATATCTATCTCGAACTATCATTTAACACCGAAAGCTCAACCGATTTGAAAGGTCAGTTATGCAGCCAATTTTGAGGCGCGGGGTTTCCGGAATTGGGTTTTTAGTATCTATGAATCATTTCATGAATGATGAGACAAAAAAGTTCAGATGACATTTAAAGTTATTTTAAAAAATGGATTGTTTTTTACAGGAACAGACGCAGCCAGTCTCGAAGTGGATCTAAACAGCCTCTCTCCGCCTACGATTCCCTAGACGACCCAAACAGCCTCGCCAACAGACAGACAGAGAAAGTGACTCTAAATGTGGGGGGAACAGTATTCATTACATTCAAAGACACCCTTGTAAGAGTGCCATGTACCCGGCTGTACTACTTGATGAAGACACCCTGTGAGAATCTTCATCCGGCAGAGTACGATACGGAGACTGGAGTCTACTTCTTCGATAGACATCCGGGCTTGTTCGAACATATTGTAAACTATTACAGGTAAACCGCTCTTCAACTAACTCTTCATGGGTTTAAATTCCCTTTCTGAAAAAAAAAGCTTTAACGAATTTCAATTTCACTTTTTTGGCAATAATTTACCAGAAATTTCATTTTGGACTACTGATTCGACATTAAATCGCATTAATCAGATTTTCAAATAAAGCAAAAAGATTTGTAAAAAGATCAACAGAAAAATGTGGAAACTCATTAGACCATTAATGTTCAGAACGTGATTCAGATGAGTTTGCTCCAGAGATAGATGAAAGCAAAACAACATTTTTCTTCGTTTTGTATGTGTCTTATCAATATGAAGTATAGAATCCTGTTTTGTTGGTTGCGTGTCTAGAACTGGTCAGTTGCATGTTCCTCGAGACATCTGCTGGCCCCTGTTCGAGAATGAGCTCAACTATTGGGGACTAGACCACACCCATCTCGAGTCATGTTGCTGGATGGTGTACAGGTACGACAACCGTCTCAAGATTTTCAACTTACAACATAAAAGAGTTGTTTTTCCCCATTGTTTTCATTGTTTTCACGTGCCTAATATGGCAAAGTTTGCGTTCCTGCTTGTAACTTAACAGTCCATCGCTTCTGTATGTCTCCAGGCACCACACAGACAACGAGAACACCCTGAAGGCCCTGGACGAGGAGGACAAGAACGAGAAGTTGGACCCTAGAGTGGGGGACAACACTTTGGGCAAATGGGACAGAAACATGTGCAAACTCTGGACACTCATTGACGACCCCATGTCATCCATACCCTCTAAGGTCAGTTGGGGTCAAAGTCACAGATGCAAATTTTAATGACCAAAGGCTTTATTCTCAAGTTTTGTCATTCAAAATGCTTCATTGCCTAGGGTTACAGGAAACTGTTTTTGAAAGCTCCATTTATATAAGGATGAAGCTTGAAGCTTGGATTAAGAAAAATTTCCCCTAGTCCTTAGTGTGAGAACTACTTGTAATTGAATCATTTGAGGAATCAAAAAAACGTCCATGGAAAACTTTTTGTCTAATATAATGAACACAATTATAACATGTGACATTTTTTCTAGCTCGGAAGGGTATAAATCATCTTTGATCAGTTGCATTGCAATGATCAACTATCAATTTTCAAAGCTCATCTTGATTTTTGTTCGAGGGTGCATAGGCTGTTATTGCCGTGATTGGTTTTTACTTTTGGTTCGAGTAAATTGAAAGGCTGTTATATCTATACACAATTTCCATAAAATCAGATTTGCAATTAATTTCAGTTCGGTTGATTTTAACGTTTCCTTGACGTTTGACTTCGTGACGCTAACAAGTCGTTAATTAGATGACACGAAAACCCTTTTAAGTTTTCACGAAAAGTTTTTTGTTTTAATTTATTGATTCTTCCTTTGAACAAAAAAATAATCGTACTGATTGTTTTTTTTTAATCAGCATTTGCACCAAATTCAAATCAAATTCAAATAACATTGATGCGGTGCATATAAAACAGTCCCATACAAAACAGGCCAGAATAAAACAGTCCAAAAACCATAAAAAGTAACGAAAAAAAAACACTTCGATCAGTCCAAACTAATTTTAAACGGTCAAAGAATACAGAGCCGACTGTCGCTGGCAAGCTTGCAATGCGTTTAACCGACCATGGTGATGACTTTTTTTGCTTATACTGTTTGGTTGGACAATGGAGAACTCTCAGCCTACTGGCTTTTAAAAACAAATATTGGTTCGGACTAGTTTTCGACTGTTTCTTTTTTCATTTACATAATTTTTTGGACTGCTTTGAAATGCATTTTTGTATGGGATTGTTATGCGCAGACACGCTTGCCACTAATTTGAATGCAAGCAATAAAATAAGCATTAACTAGAATTAACAAAACAAAACTGCTCGAATCAGGGCACATCCCTAAATATTCCGCCTGACCATTAACTGGTCTCCAATAGTTTTTGGCTAGTAAAAAATTGACAAACTATGTTTTTAAGCTGATAATATCAAACTTTAAGTGTTAAAATTTAAGTCGTGTATGGACTTAATCAGAACAATCAGCGTGCCGAAACTCATTTGGGAACAATTTGCAGTGCGGAGTAACTCAACTCGCGTAAACAATGCAGATTACACTTTCAGCATCAACAGTTTGTTTTACACTTGGATTGTGTCAGGCTGTTTTAGTGGTTTGCAAAATTATAGTGGTTTGCAAATTGGGTATAATTTTTTTTTGCTTAAAACTATTATTTTAATTGCCGAAAATTGAATGATTAAAAAAACACACCAAGCATAAATATTCCGTCGGAACTTTAAGTCACTTCAGACTTTGAATAGCGTGAGACAAACTCATCAAATTGCTTTTTTCAAATGAAATGAAAAGTTTATTGTTCACAAGGTGACTTCCTCAACTTACTTTTGGCCCATACTAATTTTTTGGAAAGTGATTATAGTCTTACGGTTTGATAAAAAAACTGCGTTTTTTGGCGCTGCTCACCCCTCAAAATTAGCATTTATTGGCGCCGAACATATAGAAATTTATAAGCGTCGATTAACGAATGCCATAAATTAGTGAAGAAAAGGAAAAAATTGTCGTGAAATTTTCTACTGGCCAAACCTCCTATTTTCATTTGCACTGAGATTTTTTTTGAAAAGTATACTAGGAGATTTCCAATATAAATTGAAAAGCTTTAATATGGTATCAGACCTAGCCTCTGATATTGTTCGTACCATCCCAAGATATCACGCTTGCTCGTTCATACACTCCGATTTTGTTCGTACCAGTTTTGCCTTTCACAAGCTTTAAATTTTTAAGCTCACAGAAAAATATAACGAAGTAAGCCTCGCAATGATTTAGAAAATATTTACTTTGACTGATATTTGCGGTTACACTTGCGAACGACTAAACAATTTATAATGAGGTGCTCTTTCTAATGAATTCTGCTTGTTGCAAATTTCGCAACTCTAAAGAAATGATGAAGTAATGAGATTTCAAACTTTTTTTCTGTGTTTGTAATCCGTAGGAAAATTTAAAACAACTATCGTTTTTTCTTCAAAAGCTTTATTTATTGATATAAAAATTTTGGACGCTCTATTTCATACTACTTTTTTTGTTTTCAGCCAAACTCTAATAATTTAGTGTAGAATGGGAACGGATCTTTTCTATTACAAAGGTTGGGTAACTCCCTGCGATTTCAAAAACTTCAAAGAAAAATAGAAATCGAACAATAGTGGCTTCAAATAATAATTACATCGACACGATTCGAACTCCCTCAAATTTATTTTTCTGAGACAAGAAACTTTTATTAATTCTCTGAGATCAGAAAAAATGGTCTGGGCATTTTACCTTTCAAAACGTTTTTCTGCTGATGATCCACGGAAAAAATAATCCATTTTTTGATAGGTTGTTTATTTCTTAGAATATTTGTTTTTGAAGTGATTCATAGTATGAAATAATACAAAAACAGCAGATGTTGATAACTTTTGGGAAACACTGAAAACTTCAATCAGACCGGGAAAATTGGCAATACCTATAAGATTGCATTAAAGTAAGCTAAATAGAACCGTGGCTGAGACAGCAGAACTCAGGCAAGTGAAATGGAAGGCCGTCAACTTTCAACCAAAAAGATCAAACACAAAAATTGCTTAACTCAAAAAGACGGAAATAAAATTTTTTTGATTGTTTCAGTCAAATTATAAAACAATCAACTGATCCCGTGGTAATTCAGACATAGCTTAAAGTTCTGAATTTTGGAAAAACAAACAAGAGGCATCACTTACAAAAATGTTTTCTTGTTCCGGCAAATTCTGAAGGTCAAAATTTCTATAACAACAAAAAAAAACGTATCTTTTTCAAGAAAAGTTTGTTGAAAGAATAGAAAAGATTTCCACAAGAAAGAATAGAACATTTATGCTATGTCGGGCTTTTTCTTTAGACTGATTTAATTTTCTACTAATTTTTTTGAGCATTATAAAAACATATAAAAATTTGACAACCTTCTCCTATTAAAAATGTTTTTGCCTGTGATTGATCTTAAATGAATACGAAACAACGCTTTTATTGCTCTCCAATTTTTTTCTATCACCATTACTACTTAGCAAACTAAGTTTCGGTGCTTTCAAATTAAAGACTACAAAAAAGAATCAAAAGAAGTTACGAACCAGTATAGGTGGTTTTAACAGGTTATCCAAATGACAATCATAGCTGTCAAATATCAGTTATGATCGTGGATAAAAAATAACTACAAATGCTTGCCAATGTTTTGTGGCACGTAAAAAACTTTCACAATTCCTGCTCTAAAAATGGGCAAATTTTGGTCCAACTCTATAAATTGGAAAGTTGGTATTAGTGTTAACACAAATAAACTAAAAACTGTCAAACCGTTTGTTCTCAAGTCTGTTCTGCAAAACAGTTAAAATAACAAAACAAAACACATTAAATTTGATTAAGAAAACCCAAATTCTCTTCTAAATCTCTTTTTTAAGCGCTTGATTTTTAATCCAGGTTTCGAAAATAGCGACGGAATATTTTGCTTTTGGTGTTTTTATTCAGTTAAATTTCGATTTTTTTGTCAAGTGTTTTAAAACTTTTTTAAATCACCTGGAAGATATTACTGTTCTGATCTCGAAATTACAAACGTTTTTCTGATATGATCTTTTTATAAGCCGTGCAAAACACAAGAAGATAGACCGAACTTGCAGCTAAAATGGCTTCAAGTGTCATTATTTTTATTGGGTTCTCAAAATATTTGTGGTAGAAAAAACTCAGTAACCCAGGAATATTTTTTTTTCTTCAAAACTTAGAAAAAAATTATCTCTATGAACAAATAAATTGTTCGTAGAGACCAGCTTGAAAAAAAATCGGATGGAAAAAAAAACAAAGAAGTGAAAATAGCGTGACGATTGCATCAAAACTAACTCAACAGAAAACTTCAAAACATTTCAAAGATTCCCAAGCAGATTGAATAATTTTAGTACAATGATACTGGTCAGGCTCAATTTGGCTCTTTTTAAGCTCTTTTTAAGCTGATTATTTGACCCAAATTGGCTAAATTAGCATTTTTAGCCCCCGTTACCTCACAAAAAGTACTCAGAGGAAAAAATAATTCATATAAATTTTAGCTCAAATCAACAAAAATTTTCAAGTAGTATTAAAAAAGTAGTATTAAAAAAGGCTAGTTAAAAGTCGAAATTGATCTAGATAGAGAAAAAACCCGAGCTCAAAATGTCAGTTTCTTGAAACGTAAGAACAATAATAGTTATTAAACGAAAAATTTTATTTGCTTTTTGGTGAAGTGGTTACTTCTCCGCCTGTCAATCGAAAGGTCAGATGTTCGAGGCCCAACATGATCCGTGCTTGTTGCTTGAGGGTGAGGCAACATTATACAGACAAAAAATGTAGCCAAAAAAGTTGCATGCAAATCTTAACCTGGGGCTAACAGCGGTTATCCGTAAAGATCTGAACAGCTCGTATGTCGGTCCTTTCCCTTGGTGATAAATCGTCTTAAAAAAGGAGTTTGAAAGTCATTTTGGAGTCCAAGACATTTACATTTTTTTTTACAAATCATCAAAAGGTAAGCTGATCTTATATGGCAAAAATACCCCTCTACCCAATAAACGCCTTAGCTTTACTGCTCTACTAGTTTTTATCTGGATTGTTTTAAACAGCGCTGGCTTAAGTTGAAAAAATGCCATTTATTAAATACCATTTATCTGTAACAGTCTGTTTTAGTTTTTTTGGCTGGTGGGTGAGTGGTCTAGATCAAATAAATTTCATCTGATTACTTTTTTTCCTAACGCGTCATTATCATTCCGACTTTTGATGAAAGTGACAAAATAGTTCTGTTCTAATCGAGTGGTTTTTTTTTCAGACAGTTTTGACTTTTTACAATCAATTTTTGTTCCGTTAATTTTTTCCATGCGAATACCATTCCATAGATTTTAATAAGCAGTTGAAACATTCAGGGCTTCCTCCTGATACGAGCAGTTTTTTGTATTTTACCGTCCCATTGGTTGAAATGTTTCCATTCTGCTTTTCTCGGATAATTCGGGCTGATATGTGTTCTTAAGCTTGCCAAAACCGAAACACGAACTATTTATTAAAAGCCTGGCGGTTATCTACTGAAAAATCGTAGATATCGTCGCAATGGGTTGAAATGCTTCCATTCTGCTTTTCTCGGATAATTCGGGCTGATATGTGTTCTTAAGCTTGCCAAAACCGAGACACGAACTATTCATTAAAAGCCTGGCGGTTATCTACTGAAAAATCTTTTTTGCATCTGCTGGTATCTGCTGCTAATCAAAATAAGACCAAGTTTGTCAATTTTTTAATAAGACAAAGTCTGCCTTCCAGACAAATATCATACATATGAAATTTTTTGCTTAAGCGGACACATCCAATATACCCACTCACCAAAATAATAATGCAAAACTATTCACCGGCGAACACTTATTAGAGAGAACACTTTTCGAATGATAGCTTTTTCGGTCAATTGGCGTGGTCAGAAATTATAAATGTCTGCTCCTGGAGCGGTATCTCATCAAAGTTTCCTCCTGCCGGCTATGTGATCCGGCTGGTGGGTCCATAGTTCTAAGTTGGTGGTGGAAATATTAATTTCTTTTTCCTGGACTGTTTTAGTTGACATAATTATTAGTTAGTTTGGAAGTGAAAAACAACTTATTGCACTTTTGAAATGAACAGGGAAAGTTAGGAAATGTGATGAAAAAATGAAACTGGTGGTTTTTGTTTGTTTCAGTGCATAGCTTTCCTCTCTCTCACTCTTATTCTAGTGTCAGTGGCAATATTCTGTCTGGAGACACACAAATTGTTCCGGGAGGAGAAGGGCAAAAAAGTGTTCAACATAACCCTCTCAAATGGCGAGACAATAACACGCACCGAAATCATCACAGAACCTCTAGAGTTCCTGTTCTATATCGAAACAGTCTGCATCATTTGGTTCTGCATCGAATTCTTTGTTCGCCTTATATCCTGCCCAAGTAAAGCCACATTTCTCAAGAGCCCTCTTAACATTGTGGATTTTCTAGCCATCTTGCCTTATTTTGTAGACCTCTATAAGATATCGAGTAACTCGACCGGGTTTCTCAGAATCGTCAGGATTTGCAGGGTTTTTCGAGTGTTCAAGCTAACAAGACACTTAACAGGGCTGAAAATTCTTTGGCACACGTTACACGCAAGTATGAAAGAACTATTTATTCTTGCCATCTTTATGTGTCTTGGAGTCGTCATCTTTGCCAGTTTAATTTTCTACGCCGAACGTCTTTTTGAAGATTCAGATGACAATCCGGAGACTGATTTTATCGACATACCACATGGCTTCTGGTGGGCTCTCGTTACCATGACAACGCTGGGTTATGGTGACATGGTGCCCAAAACGTTTTCAGGTCAAATCGTTGGATCTCTTTGCGCCCTTTGTGGGTTATTGACAATCGCTCTTCCAGTACCAGTTATAGTATCTAATTTCTCCCTCTATTACAGCCATTATCAAGCGAAAGTGAAACTGCCCAAAAATCATTTTAAAGACAAAGACGGCAGCTCTGCAAGTCCTGGAAACTCAGGGTTTAACTCGGGATCACAGACATTAGCAGGGTCGCCCATACATCAGCGGTTCTCGGAAATCGTTGAAGCGCCCGAAGAAGATCACAACCCAAGTCATAAATCGTTATTTGTTGAACTGGAGAGAGAAGACTCTTTTGATGAGCCGCCGCCGAATGGTCCTTCCGACTATGGCGGGGCTTCGGAGTACAGGGTTCCAGTTGGGAGACGAGGGCGACGTCCAGTATCGTACACGGACGGAGAACTGCCAAATATATTTCCATCTCAATCTCAACAACACATCATAGCCAATGGTGGGATAATTTGAGCTGGAGGCTATTTTTACCTTATAGTAATGATAATCATTCCTATCATTTTTACTTTAGTTGGTTAGAAAGGGTTTGCTTGGTTGTTTAGCCTCGAAATAGTAGTTTTGGTCTAATTTGCAGTCGTAACAAGTTGAATAAAAAAATGAAAAGGTATCTGTATTCGGTAGACGAGGAACCATTCAAAAAGCATAAATATTTAGATTAAAAATTTTTTTGATGATTAACTTGAACAGAAAAAAAAACTTTTCTCGTCGGGAGTTTATTACTACGAAATGATGCCCAAACGAATCTAAAACTTTTCAAGTGTTTTTATTGCCAATACTTACTACGTTTTAGGATGAGCCCACGCCGAAACGAAATTAAAATTCAAAGCTCTCCAAAAACGGCATTTCGGTGACTTTGTTCTGGGCAAGCTCTGAAAATGATGTTTTTAAATAGAAAAAATGGCCGATAAGTTACCCATCCCTCGTGAACATTCGTCACTGATAAGAGACTTGAAAGCAATCCTTTTCAATTTTATTTTCAGACGTGCGCCAAAGTGAGAATCACTTGAGTAAATATCCGCGAAAACAATCTGCGCCACTAGAGGTAAAAATGAGAGATTTGATCCCCGGACCTCCGGAGACTAATTATAATATTCACTATGCGCCTCAACGGTACTCCGCTCCCATTTCCCCCTTTGAACCTGTCATCAGTGTCGAAAACCACATCAATCAAAGTCACGGAGATGACATGGAACTGGCGGGAAAACAGACAATGAGTCAGAGCTTTCTTCCTTATATGGACCAAAATCATCATCAAACATCCTTGGACTCAACATCCATCAAATTAGTTCCATCATCATCATCATGTAATAATATTAAAAACATCCATCACAAACCAAGTAAGGCGCCATTGCCGACAGAAGCTTCATCTGATATCAGTTCGAAAAGTCAACAAGCAAACAACACTTCAAGTAACAACAGAGGCAAAAGTAAACAACAAAACAGAAAGTCAACAACGCAATATGTCGAAGTTGAATGTGAAGTTTGAACTTTATTGTCAAATGAAAATTGATTTTCAAAATGAACTGATTTTTTTTTCATTTGTAAATTGTACTCTTAGATGTTTAATTTTAACACAGTGACTATCGTATAGTTTCTATAGTGGCAACTAGTCAACAGACCAAGTTTTATCTCTATTCCATCACACAAAAGAAATCCAAAGAAAAAACCAGTGTCTTATAACCAGAGTCGAGGTTTTCGGTTTCATTTTCAATCGAGACACAGTCGATACAGAAACTTCAAAACATCATTTTGTCAGTCGACTTATTTCATTATTTGAATCAAAAATTACGAAACTGTAATTTTTGAATGGCAGAAAATATTTTTGGTCGAAACAAAACTTTTTTTGGTTGAGTCGGTCGAAACAAAAAAAAAACTTGGGTCGAACACAGACGAACAGAATTTGCTTTGGTCAAGTCGGTCGAAGCATGGTGTTTTTGCGTTGAACAAAGTCGAGCTTAATTTCATTCGTTCGAGTCTTCTTATATTTCTAAAATTATTTGTTTCCAAATCAATTATTATTGAAATCGTTTTCCTCGGCCTAATTTTTTTCGGTCAAAAATTTTCTTGGTGGAATTGTTTTTCTTTAGTCAAACACGACCGAAAGTTTTTGTCTCCGTCGAAGATTTTTTTGGTCAAAACTTGTCAAAAGCTTTTCACAAACGTTCATAGTAGAAACTTTGATAATTTGGGTCGAGTTGGCATAAATTTAACCTGAGAGCCTACACCAGTTCTGCCTAGAAACCAGGAAGACGGTAGTAGATTCAAACTGAAAAGTTTGCGTTGTAATGCTTTGTAGGTTACTGCTAGGAAAATTTCTTGCACATTTTTTTCTTATTTATGACGACTTCAAAACAAAAATTGAAAAAACAGTGAAAATTGAGCACTAGTTTAGAACAGCATGTTAAAAAAGACTTGTTGCTTACCAATGAGTTGCAAGTATCTTTCAAAAAGTGAGAGGCAAGTAAATTTTTATCGATTTGCAAAATATTATAGCTTGTATAGCTTTTAACAAATTTATCGGACAACCGACATATTAAATTTTTGAAATAATTCTGACCATCAAATTTAATCGAAATACTTCTAAGAAGGTTTGCGTTTGCCTTCTTTTGGCGTTTTATGTGTTTTTTTGCTCCGAAAAACAACCTGGCAAAGTATTGATGAAAGAACATAATTTCTTTCTCCGGTAAAAGTTTTGCATTGCTTTTTTGACAATTCAAAGGCAGTTTTGAAAATTCGATTGCAGTTTTAACGCCATTTCAGTCTCAAGGTCAGAATTTTTTCAAAAATTTAAGATGTCTGAGAAATTTGTTAAAAGCTATAGAGAGTTGCATGCCGAGTTCCATGTCGAATTTTAAGGCAATATTGAGACACACTTTCTGCCTGAAAAGTTGATTTTGCATGCAAATATGGTCTTAAAAAACTAATTTGCTCTTTTTAACGTTTTTAAATTAATTTTGTCGGTCTGAACTTTTTCCTATTAAGAAATGTGACAATTTTATCGGACAGTGTCTTTAGCAAATGACCTATATCAGAAAATATTGCATGGGAAAACTAACTTTTCAAACAGAAAAAATATCTCAAAGTCTCCTAAAATTTCAAACTTGCATGCAAAACTTTCTTATAATTTGTAAATTGCTCATTTTCAATTGTTTCTGTCTACTCCAGCTTTTTTGCTACTTATTATAAGGGTTGAAATTATGTTCACAAAATTGACCTCTGCCTTTGAACTGCAAAACAGCAAACCAAAAAGATTGCGCTTTTTCAGAGGTCAACATGTTTTGAAAGTTCTTTTGTATAGTTAACGCCATATTGTTGGCACTATCGATGACCATGGGCAATTTAATTGGTCAAAATTACAGTTTTTTAGGATAACTTGTTTTTTTGTAAAAAATTTTTACTTATGGAAATCAGTAAGAAACTGAAATTTGACGTCAAAATGAGCAGTTTAAGGTTAATTACCTTCGTTCAGCATTGTTGACCGAAAATGATATTGTCCATTAGGCATTAATTTAATTTCAATAGTTTAATTAGTAGCGAAAAGTTCTGACTAACAGTTTTGTCTATCAATTTGTCTCTATCAATCTTTATTTTGTCTCTATCTATATTTGTCTTCTTTAAGCTAGTTTTGTCTCTATCGATTTTTGTCTCAAGTGATCTAAATTTGAGGACAACGTGTTTTTAAGTGCAAGTTTTAGTCTTTTTGTCCAATTAATTTAAAATATCACCGCGCATAAATCTGTTTTAACCTCTTAGGATACAGAACGACCTAGTGAGAAGTTGAAGTGATTAGTACAATTATAGGTCCTGTTTCGCCAGCTGTCAACTTTCTTGAGCTCTCGAAGTCGTCCTTGTTCATTTCATTTTGCCCTCTTACATGTTATTTAAAATAAATATTTACTAGAAATATGTACAACTCATTTTCTAGAAATATGTATCATATAAGATCTTACAAGATATTTTAAGTTGACCAGGTGGTTTTATAGGTCAAAATACTAAGGAAAAAATTTCTTAAGAAGAAGCAGATGAAATGTTTAAAAATCAAACTACCGGATTTGTCTCACGAGGTGAAAAAAAATGCATTTTTCTGAATTGGATTGTTGAACATAAATTTCATTCTCATTTTTTAAAAATAAACCACAATTTTGAAATTTTTTCCTTCATATTTTTAGGGCTTTATGAATGGAAAAAAAAATCAAAATATTATAGTGATTTAAATTTTTTTATTCATTCATGAAAGCTATATATTTTCAAAACTATACATGGATAGCCAGTTACTATGCAATTAACAAAGAATGTTTCTACCACAATTTTAAAAACAATAAAACAAAATGTCAAATTATTATCGTTTTTTTTCTGCGTGGTGTGGTAAATGGATCTGATTCAAAAATGAGAATTTAGGTGGCCTGATTGGCTGGTGGCCTGATCGAGTCATTGTAAAAAAAGGAAAATTGGACAAAAATTTCAATAAAAAACTAACTAGAAAACCTTAAAAATAGTCATCAAAATTTTGTGAAAAAATTCCAAAGCTTTTCAATTTTTTTCCAGAATTTTTGAGTTTTAGTTTTATAAAATGGGGCCTAAAAATTCAAAATTTTTTAAACTCAATAAAATTAAATTAAAACATTTTTGTCGTTTTAATTTTGAGTGAAATAGCTGCAATCTGATCTATCATTAGACTATTTTTGATGATTATTTGTGGTACCTGATTTTGCGTGGAGAAAAACCAAAAGGAATCCGCATACAATTTTCCTTCGCATTTTTAATGGCCGGAACAGTTAGTTGTCGGGCCGTATCTATTTGCTAAAGAAAAAACATTTTTTTTGTTTTTTTTTTCCAATTTTTGTTATTAATGCCGACTCAAAGCACCGGGTTACGAATTTTGTTCATTAAATTTATTTTTGTGAAGACGATGCTTAGAGAGGCTGCAAAGCCTTTCATTGATCCTCTGCGAATCGCAAAAACGCCAATCGCTAGTTTTATTAAAAAGTGAATTGTAACTCTTTTGAAGAAACATGCTTTTTCAATAAACCTAATACCGAGCCGATTGAAAAATTTCTTGTTTTCAAAATGTTTTGTTTGCCAAAGGTTCCAAAATTTTCTCATCAAAACAACTTATGTGTGCATCTGAATTTCAGCAACAGTTTTTTTGATTAAAAAATTGAGCAGTCATAAACATTTTTTTTGTTTTGGTTAAAACAACTAATATTTTGCACTGGCATTCAAAATAGTCGTAGTAGCTCAAGTAATTGAATCATAAATTCTGCTCAGCTTGCAAAAACAGAAAAAAAGTCATAGTCTGCGGCAAAATCATGACAGACCAGAAAAGTTTATAGACTTCTTGAAAATCTAGAAATCAAAAAAAAAGGAAAAGACACATTAGATTTTGAAAAAAAAAAATCTATAATAATTATATCTTAATACTTCAAAAATTTTCTGGATTCCAACTCAAGTTATCACTTTTACATTGAGAAATAAAAGCTTCGCCATCTCTAATACTGAAAAAATGAGCATTTTTTGGACCTCAAACCTTGAAAGAATGAACACCTTTCTGATCTGAAATTCTAAAAGAACTTCACTTTTCCGATCTCAAAAACTGAAAGAATTAACATTTTCAATCTCAAATAATTTAATCCTGTTTTGAAAATTCCGCTTTTGCTAGATATTAGTTTGACCTGTAGCACCTAATTGTTCACGAAGGACTGGTTTGGTTTAGTATAACAAAGAAAACTATCATCCATCTATTTGGGCAATCCTCTTTCATTTGCGGAAAAAACTAAAAATTTCTAAACTCCCCTTACATTTGGGGAGTCCTGAACAACTAGCTATATTCTCTCGTCGCAGAGTCCTCGACAACATTAATGTGCCGACACGTTTTACGTAACTGGTATTTGAACGTGGGCGAAATTCACGGAAGTTTTGTGAGTTATTCATTTTAGAACGTGTTTAAAGACTTGCCGCTGGGAAAAAAACGATAAAATCAGTATCAAGAGTTGATGCAACAAAAGCCTAAATTGATATCAAAAACAAAAGAAGCTGCACCTTGAAAAACAGCGTGGTGACTCGAAGAACACATAATCAGGTATCCTGGAACTACAACGCAAAGAAGAAGCTATCTGAATAATTGCAGATAATTTTAAAACCTATACTTTATAAGTACACGTTGACCAAACTGGGACTTTTTAACAAACAATTCAGTTTTGATACAAACATGCAGTAGTTTGCAGACCGTTTTGCAGTTTTTTTTCTTCAAAATATATTTCATAAACGGTCTTTTACTTCAGCTGGTGCTTCCTTGTGCATCATTTTCACAGGCAACCTCATACGTAAAACTTTTGCTGACTCATTATTAAACACATCTACAGAAAATACAATTTTTTTTGGGCATTGAAATTTTTCAATTAGTGAGATGATTTATGAAAAAAGTTCAAGAACTTTGAAAAATTTTCAAATTTTGACTTAACTTTTCCTGGCCTATATTCACTCATCTATAAAAGCAGTTTTTTTCCCAAATGAGCAATGCCATAAGAAAAGACCTATGGTATTAACTTATCATTTCAGGACTATGAAATCTAAACAAAAAAATTAGACAACCACCAAATTCAAAAACCACCAATTTTTAAACTCTGACCTACTCTAAAACAGTTGTTTCTTTATTTTAACAAATCTTTTTGACATCAAAAATTTCGTTAAAACTCAATAATTTTGAAAAAAAACACGCTACAATTGAGCTTATTTTCCTGACACTTCAGAAATTGAATTTTATTATTTTTTGTTAAACGCTAGAAATTAGTTATAAAAATAAATAGAAATAGAAAAAAACTGCAGAGATGCTATGCTAAAAAAGTGCGGGGAGAAATATTCTTGAAGCCAACAGCAAAAAACACGCTAAAATTTAGTTTTCAGCAAAAAAATATTGTTTTGAGAACAAAAACGTGTTTTTTTATCATGGAACCCAAGGACTTTCTCACAACAACTCTCTGGCAACATTAGAGCAATTTTTAACGGTTACTTAAGACGAGATTAGCTTTTTTTAAATTGGACAATGTCGAAGTTATGTGCTATTCTCCGATAACAAAATAAGTTTGAATAAAAATGGAAGATTCGAAAACAAAAACGTGATTTCTTAAATGTCGATCGTAAAATTTCTCAAACTTGTACCGACATTTGTGAGAGATTTTTTTGAATTCGTCTGTTTTATTTTTGGCTAGTTCGGCATTCGTCTAATTTCGCCGCATCCGGTAGCTAACTCATTAGTCATAACAGCTAGTGTTTACATGCCTGTTTGAAAAGTCACTGATTAAATTTTATTGAATATGTAGTACGTTCAGTATTGCTTGCGTTATGTTGTTGAAAGACAAGGTAGCCGAGTGGTTAAGGTTTTGGACTGCTAATCCAATACGGTCTCCGTTCGTGGGTTCGAATCCCATCTCTATCAATTTTTTTTTCCTAAAATCTCCAGCTCATCGTTTTTTGAAAGGATAATTGGAAAATGCGCCAAATATGCGTTTCGTTGACAAATAAGTTGAATCATTTACGCTTGCTTAACCGTAAAATAAGTAGAGGCGGTCACATTTCTTGATATCAACTATACAATTATAACAATTTTCATTCAGAAATTTTTCTGACTCAAGATGTTTCGCAAAAGTTTGGAATTGAATATTTTAAGCACCAGTTAACTTTTTATTTATTACATGCTATGAGCATGCGGGACCTGTCTATCATAGTTGCTTTTTTGAGAACCACTTTCTCATAGTAGTACGCAAGGCATACACTGGGTGTGCTTTCATCTCATTTTTAGTACCGCCCTCATGATTCGATTTTACTCTCGACTCATCTCAAATACTGACCTCATGATTTAAGTTCACTTTATCATCTGATCCCAAATACTGCCCTCATGATTTGAAATCATTCTCGAACAACCAAGTCAGAATCTGGGATTGACGGAATACCAAATACTAAAATATATCGACGATATGCTGCGCGTTGTGTTTCCCAATAACTGCTGGACATGCTGTAACACATAAACTCCAAACAATGAGTTTAATCGGTGTAGTTTTTTCAAAACTTTGATCTCAAAAATTGTTTGCTGGGATATATATCCGAAATACCAAAGGATGACATCCACCGATTTAGTTAACCAATGTTTTAAGATTTGTTTGTGGCTGACAATGGATAGGTCCTTGCTTTTAATTGCAGCTTTTCTATAGATAATAATTCTAGGTCCAGCTTTTAATAGTTCGTAAGCAAGTTCATTAATAAACAAATTTCGGAATCCACTTACGGGTTGCAGAATCCGCTTATATTTGCGGATTCCGCAAATAATTTTGGAGTTTCTTCTAACATTTGCAAATTTTACTTACATTTTGCGACTTTATGTGCAGACAAAATTTATGTTACAGGTCTTTGCACACTGAATCAATGGAAGTTTTGCAAGTGGAATCCAATTACATTTTGTAACATGTTTATAGGTTTGTCTCTGGAATCCCAAAAATAGAGACACAAAACTGTGCGCTTATCCAGTGCACATTTTGGCCTAGTAATGATAGAACCCTGCTAAAATTCCCATAAATTAAATTCACATTTGTTGTTCTGACTTTCGAAACAAAATTAACGGGATATTTGTGCTCGAGATGGGTTTTTTTTCTTCAGACAAATTTCGACTTTTTAACTAGCCATTTTTGACGGATTTTTTTTATCATTCGAAAGGTATTGTTGTCTTGAGTTAAAATTTGAAAAGATATTTTACCTCTGATCTTTTTTGTAGAGTTACGGGGGATTGAAGATTGCCACTTCGGCCAATTTGGGACAATTAACGCGCGATGTTTTAATCCGTATTAGAAATCGTTCCAAATTGGTTAAAAGAAGCTTATTTGTCATAATTGATTTGTTAAAAAGAGCAAAATTTATCCTTTTGTCTTTCATATGGCGTGTGGTGGGATGATTTTTGTTTTAAAAAAATTAAATTTTAGAAGAAAAAAAATTTTAATTTTGTTTTATTACATTTAATTTTTAAATGTTATTACTGCTCCAAAAACCTTAAAAGGCAGTCGGAAAATTCAGTGCTTCGCCCTGATACAAGCAGTCTTGTTGTTCCGTTTTTCGATACGAAAGTAACGGAATATTTGTGCTCGGGGTGGGTTTTTTATTCTTCAGACTTATTTCGACTTTTTAACTAGCTATTTCTGACGAATATATTTTTATGTCATTCGAAAGGTATTGTTGTCCTGAGCTTAAACTTGAAAAGACGTTTTACCTGTGATCCTTTTTCGTAAAGTTATGGGGGTTGCCATTTTCCCCAAATTGGGACAATTAACGCGCGATATATTTAGCGCTATTAACGCGTAAGCGAGATTTAATCCGTCTTAGAAATTGTTCCAAATTGGTTCAAGGAAGCTTATATGCCATAATTGTTTGTTATTAGGAGCAAAATTTATCACTTTGTACTTAAAATGACGTGTGGGGGGATGATTTAACAAAACTCTTTAATTTTTTTCTTATAAAAATTTATTATGATTTTTTCAATTTTCATGTTACTTCTGCTCCATAGACCTTACAGGGCAGTCGGAACATTCAGGGCTTCGCCCTGATACGAGCAGTCTTTTTTTAGATGCTCGTCTTGTTGTTTAAAGTTGGTAAAATTGCTATTCAAATTTAGAAGGATGGTTGCTCACTCAGTTTATTTAGAGCAATGAGACGGGTGGAAAACATTACATGGAAAAATATTCACATAGACCGCACTCACTTTCCTGCATGGGAAAATTTGATTCGATTTATATGTATCTACAGCAGACTTGCATATATTGCTTAATAGTTGACGGTAAAGCTCAGTTAAACTCCTTGTAAGAATCATCTGATAAAACCTTCGTTCGAGAAGACTTAAACTAGAGCAATCACTACAACTTTAGAAGCAAACCAGAAGTCAATTATAACATTCTCTTTCGATGATTATGTAGTTTTTAACCATTATTAGGATTGAATTGGAAAGTTAATTGATGGTGTTAGCAGACGGTGGTGCACTTGCAGGAAAAGCCACTCCGTAGTAGGAGACAGGTTGTTTCGAGTCGCCATCACTCGGCTGTGCGTTGAAACATTTGTACGAACAGAGCAGAGCTCGCACAGGTATTTTGGACTTGTTGGCATTTGGGCCGACGGGAGGTGAGCCGACGATTTGCCTGCTGTCGATGAAGTGCACGCACTCTAGCCATGTGTTGAGGAAGAGACTGTTGCACATGGCACACTTGCTGGCCAGAGATAACATTTCACGCAGGGCAGGGTAGTGTCTAAACATACTCGAGTGAGTCATTATAGCATTCCAAAATTAGTGCGAATTGGAGCGAGAAACATTCTAATTGGTTCAATGGGGCGAGAAGGCATAAAATATAGAATGCTGGTATTAGTTATGCTATTACACTATCTATTTGTCGTATTTATCAAATAATTAGTTCAAACGAACCAAATATTTTCAATCGAAACATGAAGCATGGTTAATTTAGAGCATTAGAAATCAAAATTGAAATTGAAACAAGACTTCTCGTATCAAGGCGAAGCCCTGAATGTTCCGACTGCCTTTAAGGTTTATGGAGCAGCAGTAATAACATTAAAAAAATTAAATGAAATAAAATAAAACGAAAATTTTTTTTTCTAAATTTTGAAATTTTTTATGAAAATCATCCCCCCACACGCCATATAAAGTACAACAAGACTGCTCGTATCAGGGCGAAGCCCTGAATGTTCCGACTGCCTTTTAAGGTTTATGGAGCAGTAATAACATTAAAAAACTAAATGTAAGAAAAAATAAAATGAAAAAAAAAATTTTTTCTAAAATTTGAATTTTTTAAATAAAAATCATCCCCCCACACGCCATACAAAGTACAAGAGGATAGATTTTGCTCCTTGCAACAAACCAATTATGGCGAATAAGCTTCTTTTAACCAATTTGGAACGATTTCTAAGACGGATTAACTCTCCGCTTACGCGTTAATAGCGCGAAATATATCGCGCGTTAATTGTTCCAAATTGGCCAAAATGGCAATCTTTAAATCCCCATAATTTTACGAAAAATGATCACAGGTGAAATATTTATTCAAATTTGAGCTCAAGACAACAACACCTTTCGAATGATATAAAAAAAATTCCGTCAAAAATGGCTAGTTAAAAAGTCGAAATTTGTCTGAAGAAAAAAAAACCCACCCCGAGCACAAATATTCCGTTACTTTCGTGTCGAAAGTCGGAACAAAAAGAGAGATTTCATTCCTCGTAACAATCTAATTATGGCAAATAAGCTTCGTTCACCAATTTGGAACGATTTATAAGACTGATTAAATCTCCGCTTACGCGTTAATAGCGCGAATTATATCGCGCGTTAATTGTCCCAAATTGGTCAAAATGGCCAAAATGGCAATCTTTAAACCCTCATAATTTTACGAAAAATGATCACAGCTGAAAAATCTTTTCAAATTGAAGCTCAGGACAACAATACCTTTTGAATGATATAAAAAATTCCGTCAAAAATGGCTAGTTAAAAAGTCGAAATATGTCTGAAGAGAAAAAAAACCCAACCCGAGCACAAATATTCCGGTTTTTTCGTATCGAAAGTCGGAACAACAAGACTGCTCGTATCAGGGCAAAGACCTGAATGTTCCGACTGCCTTTTAAGGTTTTGTGGAGCAGTAATAACATTGAAAAATTAAATGTAATAAAATAAAATGAATTTTTTTTATTTGAATATTTTTATGAAAACCATCACCCCACACGCCATATAAAGTACAAGCAGATAGATTTAGCTCCTTGTAACAAATCAATTATGGCAAATAAGCTTCTTTCAACCAATTTAGAACAATTTCTAAGACGGATAAAATCTCCGCTTACACGTTAATAGCGCGAAATATATCACGCGTTAATTGTCTCAAACTGGCCAAAATGGCAGTCTTTAAACCCCTTTAACTTTTTGGAAAATGATCACAGGTGAAATATCTTTTCAAATTTGAGCTCAGGACTACAATACCTTTTGAATGATATTAAAAAAATCCGTCAAAAATGGCTAGTTATAAAGTCGAAATTAGTCTGAAGAATAAAAAAACCCACCCGAGCACAAATATTCCGTTACTTTCGTATCGAAAGTCGGAACAACAACTCATTATTCATCAAAAATTATAATAGAGATCAAAAATTCAAAATGATAAATCGAAAATTGGGTCTTATGCACTAAACGGCCCAAAATCAAATTTTCTACATCGTAAGCTGGAAATTATGCGATCGAATTTGATTGGGTAATTTTAGCCTATCAAATTCAAGTTAGACGGTCAGGCATTCCGATCAACCTTTCCAGCAGATAAAAGTATTAGCCGAAATTTCCAATAAGATGGAACTGTGTAAAAGAATCAAATTAATTTTGAGTTACTTGTGAAACCTTGCCCAGACAAGAAAAACTTAATAAAATGGCTTGACATAACAAAAAATCAAATTAATAATTCGGCTAATCGTTTTATCTGCTTGAAATGGCAGAATTATTTCATTTGAAATGGCAGAAAGTGTCAATGGAACTTGATTGGCTAATTAGCCAATCAAATTCAACCACATTAATTTCAGTTCAAGAGATGTAGAAATAATGATTTTGGGCCGTTTAGTGCATAAGACCCAGAAAATCTTATGGGACATTTTTTTTGCTTTTTTAAGCAGGAAACAAAAACATTTAATTATAATTTGAATGCATACTTACTTGATGGTTCTCCTCAGTAGTGAATTGGTCTGTGACAGCTCTTTTAGACAAGTCCTGGAGGCTAATTCCTTCAGAGTCATGATTTCGTCCTCCTGCACACTTCTCACTGGTCTCTCCACGATCAACTGGTTGCACTCTACATACAGCTCACGCAGCCGAAGTTGGTGGAACTTAGTTGGGAAGATCCGGATGTCATTAGCCGCCAAATCTACAATTTATTTTTTAAAAATTAGAACAAATTGTTACAAGTAAGAAACACCTAATTACTCAAAATTAGGTGTTTTTACTTGCTTGTACACCACCTGTTTAATTATGTATGAAAAATTAGCTAAAACAAACCAATCGGAACTTGGTCCATGATAGGGGCGGATTTAGGGGGGTGGGCGGGGGAAGCGGACGCTTTTTCTCAGGCATTGGACGCTAGCAAATACCAAAGGGTCGCCCCTTTGGACATTTTACTTAATTTTTTCAAAGGGCGCTTCGGCGTGGGTGTCTTTGGTCTTTATATCAGGTGTGAAAATTCAAGAGGTGAAAATGCTTCCTTCAGAGTGTGTCACAAAGCCACAATGCCAGTAATTTTTGCTTTGCTCCAGATTGGTGCTACCCTCCCAGTGACGGTATGCACTGCTGAGCGATCATAGCACAAAGATGTAGAAATCAAAGTGGAAGAGGTCATCGATAGATTTGCCTCAAAAAATCGAAGACCCAATTTTGTTTAATTTTGTTTATTTTCTTATTGTAAATAAATCTTTGTTTTTGTCAAAATTTTTCTCAATACGCTCCCCCTCCCATTTTTTCTCAATATAATCCTAAATCCGCCACTGGTCCATGGTAAATATTGAAAAATGAACATCAAAAATTCATCTTTTTAGAAATTTGAACTTCTTAAAATTCAAAAACAGTAATCCAACTATTCTCGGTTGATTTTTTTCAAATGTATTGTAAGTTTAATCAGTATTTTGGAGTAAAAGTAAGTTTTTATAAATTAAAAGATTTGATTGAAAATTAGTTAAGAAGCCAAACAAACAGAAATCATTTATTCATAACCAACCTAGACATTTCAAGCTCGTCAATTTCCCAAACGTCTCTGGCAAATCTTGCAGAAGGTTCTTCCTCAAAATACACTTCTTTAGTTTTCCTAGATAGCCAAAACCAATCGGAAGGCTGACTAACTCGTTTTCCGAGGCGTGGATTTCCTCCAAACTATCGCAATGCGCAATTTCATTCGGAAACGTTTTCAGTCTGTTTTTCTCGATTGACAAAAACCTCAAATTTTCGAGAAAACCGATATCAGAAGGAATAGTTTCGATTTTGTTCGAGTTGAGGTTCAAAACTTTCAACTTTCCCAGTCTGCCGATGCAACTCTCTGGTATGGTAGTTATGCAATTATCATGCATGTGAAGGGTCTCTAGATTACGTAATCTGGAAATACTTTCAGGAAAAATTTCAAATTTGTTATGGCCAAGGTGTAACACAGTTAACTTCTGCAGCAAGGAAAACTGACGTGGCAAATCGGTTATGCAGTTCTTCTTGATGTTCAGTTTTTCTAATGTGCCTGACAATTTGATAAGGTCTTCCGGAAACTCTTCTAAGTTTCTGCTGAACAAGTTGATGCTAATTGCTCCAGATCTAACAGCTGGCAAAAAATAATTGCTATTTAAACCCATTATTTGATTCAAAAATACAGTTTTTTTTTCAAAAAGCTATGAAGCTTAATAATAAGCACTGACAAACTGAAAAGCGTGTTCGATCAAAAACGATCCATCTCATTTATGCGTTTTATTGTTTGACAAAAATTCTATGGTGCAGTAAATGTATTACTGTATTCAGCAGATGTTTTGGCTGTCCAAATACATGCAGAATTAATTCACGTGCAGTTTGCTACCATGCGATCTGTATTAAGTTACCGATTGTAAAGAGACCGAAGTATTTTTCTATTGAGGGATACTTTGAGACAAAAACCGAGTTATAGTTTTTTTTGTATAAAAATATTGAGAAAAACGGCAAATTTTTGAACGCTCCGATGCTGTTTACTTTTTTAATCTTTCAGTTTCCTCCTTTTTTATAAAATGAAAAAATTAAAAATATTTTCCTTTCGGAGACGCTAGAAACGTGCCTTCTGGTCTAATGAAGTTCTATCCTTACAATATTTCTGCCCTGCTAATAAACAGTCTGAAACCAATTTAGTGTGAATTTGATTACTATTATGAACAATTTAATTTAAAAATGATTGTCAAAAAAATAAAATTATTATTATGATTATGATTATGATTATAATAATATTAATAATTTCATTTTACTGACATTATCATTTTTATAATAATCCCCCCCTCAGTGATTTGACCCCCTCACCAACCAAAGTCTTACCCCTTTTGTATTGTTTCATGTCATCCATTTTTGGCCGACCAACCCTAAAAATATTCTAAGGCGCCTTTGGCGCCAATATATACTGATTTTGAAGGAAATCGTCGCCGAAAAAAAAACGCAAGGTTTAGGTCGAAACTTTCCAAAACTTGCCCAAAAACGGCTTTTTGACCCGTTTTTTCAAAACTTTACTTGCAGCGTAAAAACGTTCTCAGACCTTTTCTCGGTTTTTTGAAAAGTGAATTGAAACTTCTGCCTCTTGTCTTAAGTTCTAGTGAGTGAAGCACGCGAATAAAAGTTTTTTTTACAACAAAACTAATATTTTAAGCAGTAAAAAATTAAGTTTTAATCCAGGAAATAAAATGTTTGAAGCAACAATGGTCACTCACTTGACAACATTTTTTTTCTTTAGAAAAAACCTAAAGACATTAGGGTAATCTATTATGTCTGTCCTACCATGTCTGTGTTAAGTTTTGGGAAGTTTGGCTCAACGTACAACTAATCAAAAACGATGCAAACTTTTTTTAGAAAAAATTTTCAGCTGAAAAAAAAAATTTGAACAAGATGTTGTAATTTTCTGTGCTACTTGAACAGCAACTAGCTACTCCTGGTAATATTCACATAAAACTGATTTTTTAAGTTGGCGAAAGTCAACAAGTTTTCCTACAAATATCGATAATCAACCTCAAAGAAATATAAAATGAATACAATGAACTAATGACCAAAAATATCATGGGGTTAAATCACTTGTCTTAATTGAAAAAAAAAGAGTAATTGTATTCGAGTGATTGGTCACTTCACCCGCTCACATTTAATCGTTTTTCGTTTTTGAAGATATATATATATTTTAATTTCGCACATTTCTGATTACTTTAGTCAACTCTGAATGTGAGCCTTACAGATAACTGGATGTCAAGAGCACATGAAGTAATCCAACTAAGACTGATAAAAAAAACATTGCAAATGGACATGATTGAAAAAACCATTATAACCCAAATTCTACCAAAGAAAATCCCTGAAAGCCTAAAAATTTAAACAAATCAAATCAGAGAAATCAAATCAACTCCTTTTTGCAACAAACGCTAAATTTTTTTCAGATTTTGTCAAGACTTTTGATAAAGAAAGAAATTAAACGTCTGCACCCCTGACAACTGGTCTTTATAGAGAAAGAGAGAATTAGTGTATTGTTTCATCAACTTTTGCAGTCACTTTACCATTAGTATTGTACACTTGTCATTAATTAGTTTAAATGAAAATTTGAGGGTATTCTGTTGAAACTAGATTCAAAGATTTGAGTTGCCGATATCGGATTTGAGTAAAAACTTAGGAGTGTTGTATCATCGGCTTACTGTACAAGATTACATGACTTCTCTATTGTTTCTGGCATATCATTAAACTAAAAGTTAAACAGCAGAGGTCCTAGTACAATACTCTGAGGGACAACTTGCTCCATTTTGAGCCAATCTAAACACGCCAATTGCAATTGTTTGCTGCTGCATGTTTCTTGGAAAAGAATTTACTAGATAAGTTGCTATTGGTTTAAAATTAAGATTCCCAATTTATGTTGGAGAATGGGATGTGAAAATGAACAAAACGCTTTCAATAGTTCTGAAAATGCTGCTGCTGCTACAATAAGCTTATCATGATAGAATCTGATTATTTTGGTGTGTTTAGAAGAGCGTCTTATGGAAATTGGATGTTACTTGATTGGATCGGCTGTATCTCCATTTTTGAATACAGGAATGACATTGGCTTTTGTTTCAAGCCCCGTGGAAATTCAGCTTTCGAGATATTTTCATTATTATCCTAATTAAAATAGGGTTGATTGTATGCACTAGTCTTTCAGGCCCATACAGGTGTTTTACTGGATCATAAAAGTTTACCGATTGCGAACAAAAATATGCTTCAAACTTTTCTAGGTGAGTGAAATACCTGCATTGAACCTTTTTGGTGTCAGTTCACAGAGCAGTAGATTTGCTGAACATTGAAATTGGAGAGTGTGTGTTTTGTTGGACGCCTAAAGTTGAAACTTCTAGTTAAATTAGTCAGCTTTCTCATCATCCTTGATTCAATTACCAAATGAGTTTGGCAATTCATAGCTCTGGATAGTTTGCTTCACTGTTTTTTAATGGAATTGATGAATTTCCTTCGTTTTGGGGCTATCAAGATTCTGAAAAAGTTTTTTCATCTCATTTTTGCGTAAAAATTCATTTCAGATCTGAAATAAGCAAGGAGACAAAAACTCAGTTCTGAATATTAATTCTAAATTAAGGTTTTTATCAGATCTGAAACTGATTTGTTTGTCTTTGTCCTCGACCACATAACAAGTGACGAGAACATGTGGCTTAATTTTGTTTTTCCCGAAATAATTTAATTAAATCAAAGAAGTTCGTTTCAAAAGTTCAAAAAAAGTGTTTCAAGTTGGGGAAAATCTGGTCTAATTTTTCCATTTTAGTAGTGGTCGGTACATTCTGTGCTGCTTGCACATGAGCTAACTATTTTTTTGATATCCATTATCCAGTGCTGTCAGAAAGCACCAAACAGTATCAGCTGAAGTTACATTGCTAGGTGTATTCTTCTTCCTTACTTTCCCAGGTAGAGCTACTGACCTCAAGAGTTAAAAATGGCTTCTGGCACCCACGGATATAGGAGGGGAGGCGGGGGGCGGACCCCCCCCCCTCCTCATGAATTCGACCCCCTGTTGATCCAAAGGGTCCTCCTTTGTACTATTTTGAGACATCCATTTTTGGCACACTGGTCCTAAAAATTTTCTAACGGCGGCTTGGGCGCCAAAATATACTTTTGAGGGGGAGCTTGCGTCAAAAAAGCAATTTTTTTGGTCAAATTTTTCCCAAAATCTGCCTCAAAACGCTGGTCTGTTTTTTTTCAAAATGCCTGTTCGGGTCTTTATAGTGATTTAGGAGAGCTCAGAAAATCAATTTAGCCGACCTAAAAAAAGGGCGTTCAAACTTTCATTCGCTTTTTTGAAAATCCGCTCCCCCCTCTCGAGAAAACCCTAGATCCGCCCCTGGCTTTTGGTTTTTGTTTTTAAGAGAAACCTGCCCATCATAAGAGTTAAAATAAAGTATTGGTAGAAACTGCCGGTGAGACATTTTTCATACCAGTTTCTTAGGAGATGTGACGATGGGAGTTTTCGCTAAGTATCTGCTAGTGTCATACAGAAACTATGAAGAACTAAAATGCTTAAAATAGTTAAAATTGTGTCAGATTTGAGGATAATTTCAGATCTGAAGTAAGCAAGGCGACAAAAATATAGATCTGAACATATTGTAATTCCGAAAAATGTCCTTTTTTTCTGATCTGAAAAAGTCATGAAAAACAACATATCAAATCTGACGTTAGGTCTGAAAGATCCCTTTTTCTTAAAGACAGAATACATTCGATGTTTTAACATTTCATAACCCATTCCAGATTTGAAAATTAGATTTTCAGATCCTAAATAGAGCGTGTTCTAGATAAGTGAATCGAAAATTTTGCGAATAGCTTTGTCAACCCAGACGCTGAGTTTTCAGCTTATGTGAAATTTTAGTCTCCAGTTTATGCTAGGTAGATAGTTGAGATTGTTGTTTTTTCTTACTGTGTTGAAAATTCTAGCTGCAATTATTTATTTTTCAACAAAGTTGTAATAACGGGGTGCTTTGCTATTGATCATAATATTGTGTTTTATTTCATATTTTTGCTGGAATGGGGTTACAAATCATCGACTCGATCGTTTCGAACACACTGTGCGTATCTTGGTCTGCATTCACGATTTGAAGTCGGTTGTCGTTTGTCTGAAAGTAGTCGATCAAATCTTCTTTATTCGCGTGAAATTCGTTCAACTCCATCTGAACAACCGATTCTTCATCTCTCGGGTGCACTTTTAGCCTCTGTTTGATCTCGACTGTCGGCGCCGGTTTGTATAAAGTGTGATAAGTTTCGCCCGTCAAAGGGTCAATCGATCTCTGACAAACTCTTTCTATTATACTGTCAGTCGGTATGTCCATCATCAGAACCCGATTCGCTTTGAAACCGATTCGCTCCATGCGTTCGACTTGCGAGGCGTTCTTTGGGAACCCATTTAAGACCCAGCCATTTGCGACGCAATCCAATTGACCCAGTCTTTCGTCCAGAAGTTTGAACACCAAATTGTCCGGAATCTCTTTGTTGTTCTCGTAGTACGGTTTCAAGGTTAAACCGATATTAGTCTCGCCAGCGACATGAGTTTTGACCAAATCGTCGACTTTGACATTCACAATTCGATATTTCTTGGCTATCAATGCGCTTTGAACGGACTTTCCAGCGCCTCTGGGGCCCAGTAGAATTATTCTTGGAGTATGTGGCGCTGCCGATCGTTGCTTTTTCGAAATGATATTGAAAACTTGCATCAGAACATCTGCTTTCGGCTGGTCGGCGTTGACTTGACTGAAAAAGTTCTCGTATGCCGATTCCAAAGTGACTGAATTTCGGTGATGTTTGATAAGCTGATCGACTAGATAATCTTCTTTTTCGCAATTTGGAGGAGCTATCAGCCGTTTCTCGATGTCGGCGTCCGATGGGTAGTCGAATGTAATGTGGTAGATATTCCCAGTTTCGGGATCAACTCTTTTACCTAAATATTACTCAAATCACAATCGGTACTAGGGGACTCCTTTTCTTTCATTCATCAACTCCACAAACCTCACAACCATACAATTTTTAGTACAATTAATCATTTTGGTGATTTGGAAGACTAAATTTTCTTGAAATTCGGCAATTCATCAGTATTCAGGGGACTGGAGAAAGATCTTGACTTTTGGTTGATCATACCTTTGGCCCGCTCCATGACTACTTCGTCTGGGATTTGCAAGTTTATGTAGTGCTTTGCGAGGACTGCCGCCTGTTGCAGCATGTGGGCTTGCACTCCCGTCTCGGGGAATCCGACTAGAATCCATCCTCGTCGCACTGCATCGGGACTGTTCACGCGGTTTTTCACTAGTTTGATCATCAGGTCGTCGGGCACAGCTTTACCCTGCGCAAAATATTAGTGTAAAGTAGCCCAAATATCATAGAAAACAATTGCTTGACCCCCCTCCCCACCCCCCTCATCAGTTCTGGTTGCCAAACGTTCCGAAAGGCTTCTTTTGCAATTATTTCAAACAGCCAGTTTTAGCTAACAATTTCTTTAGCTTTTCAAAATATGCGTTTTGCGCCAATTTTGAGAGAAGAGAAGTAGCTTTGGTCAAAACTTTTGTAAAATGCTCTGAAAATGTTTTATAACAAACATTATTGGCAGAAAAGTTTGCAATTTTGACTATTCCAGGGTTTCGACAGAGCTGTAAAACTTTGAAATGGCTGATCAACAAAAAGGTCGGCAAAATTATTCATAAATCACTCACTACGCATATGCCATTTTTAATGTCAATCTACGCATATGCCATTTTTAGTGTCAATCTATACCCCTCCCAAAACAAAGCTCAAAGTACAAATCTTTCAACTGAAGTGAATGAAATTTGTTTGACACTTGTTTTGTGTACCTGACTGAGAATGCCCCTTGCTTTCTCCCCGTCTTCGGTGGAGTCTTCCTCCGGGAGGTTTTCAGGCAGCACCAGAGCACACCTTAGCTTCTGGCTCAACTCCTTCCCAATCGAGTGACGCCCAGATCCAAACCTGCCCTGTAATAAGAGAAGGCAAAAAAGTTTGAGTTTGGTAAATTGCAAGGAACAAAAATGGCATACAGTACAGATCAATCTTTTGATGAGGCTGAGTTTTAACACCAAATCAGCAGTAAAAAAGGTTTTTTTTGTCAGATATGAACAAAACTGGTAATTGATAGTTTTTACGTTTCTCCATTTTTCAGATATCAACAAAACTGGTTATTTATAGTTTATATGCTCATAATGATTTGTAAAAAACTGTTGAAAAAAACTGGAGTTATAATTAAATATCATATTACCAAGTGAAAGTTCAAAGAGTAGCTAGAGCGGTAAAACAGCGAGGTAAACTTGGTGTATATAGTGACTGATAAGTTTATGCATGAAAACCTAACGCGTTTGGAATTGAGTAACCGACCAGATGAAAAAAACTTTATGCTTGGTAGTTTAACAATTTAGAAAAATGTCATAGGCATGGAAACTCATAGGCGAGGGAAGGAAAACGATCCGGAGTAAACATAGACGGTGGAGAAAACGCAAAAGAGCCGGCGGGACACTTTACGACTAGTCGCACTGACCTGCACAATGATAGCGGGTATGTCCTGTGTGTCCTGTTCTATCCAGTCTAGCATGTGTTGGATGGGGTCGGAGGGTCTGTTGATGATGACACTCTGCAGCATCCCCTTCAGCAACTCAAATACCCCCTTCTCCTCCGCATATGTGCCGTAGTGAGGGGGGATGCGCAGGGGACGAGCTGTCTGGTCCACCGTCATTTTTCAGTTTTTCGGACTACTTTTCAAATTCGCGCAAAAAAAAATAAAAGATTTTTGGAATTGTCTGCGGTAATACGTACTGGCAAATGAAAGTTGAGACAACAATTGTTTGTTTTTTGGATGGTTTTAGTTTAGTCTACAGTGAGCGTGTATTGTACGTTATGTGTTATGTGTTTTGGCGTGCTTTAAAAAGCACGTGCATGGTTTGGCTTGCGAGCAGTTTTTATATTTTGTGTGACTGAAAACACTATCCTGATGAAGTAAAACGTCAAAGCAAATTGTTTTGCTTAACGGTTCAAAAATAAGCAAGCATAATTATCAACGAAATGAATTTTTTTTTAATTATGAAAGGCAAACGATTGAAATTAATTTCATGAAATTTTAGCCATTATATCACATTATATCACAAACTGAAAAATAAACAAATGAGAATTAGAATATTAGAACAGAGCACCTTGATCATTTCAAAATTTCAGATACAATTTTTTTCCGTTTATTTTCTGGATATCTGATTTCGGACGGTCGGGAGCAGATTTCACATAAGCAGTTCCTGATACGATTGACTCCACTTTGAAAAAATTTGCTTCCAATGAAAAAATTCCTGCGTTTATTGACTCGGTAATTGATTTGTTCCAGTTTAGAGTGTGCAGAGTTAGTTCCTGCTGGATCCACCTAGCAGCATGAGGAGGTAGAGGAAAATGTAGATGATGTCGACGTAGAGCATGAGTGCACAGAACACATACTCCTCCATCATGACATCGTGGTGGCCTGAATTGATGATCAGCCAAGTGTCCACCAGCAGAATCTGACAACACGAAACGACATACACATAGTCAGGGGATTGAATCTCGACCAGGTCACTCTTTTTTAATTATTATTTTTGCTCTTCTCTATGAAGCAGAAACAGGCTAACGTAAGTTCCAAGTCTTTCGAATCATCAACTCACTCAGTTTGAGATCTGTTCACAACGGTGCCAGGAAAACTTACCAGTGAGAAAAGTGCGACTATGAGTGCAGCATAGACAGAGGGCATCATCTGAAACATGTCACATGCAACTGAACTAATAAGCTTTATTTATAAGCAACAAAATTGCAATGAGTTTAAAAAAACAAATGAAAGTTTAAAAAATCGAAGACTCTATCATCGAACAGTGTGAGAGGTAGTTTTTTCAAAGGTGTGTAGCATAGTTGAGCTAGCTGTTTAATTGAACGGTTCGACGAGCGAGAAAAATAAATATAGATAGAATAGAGATCATAATATTTAGTTTCGGGTTTTTGTTATAGGTCGGCTTGAACATTCTCTAGACAATGAGTATTTCGAAACCATGAGTATCATGAGTATTTTGGGGAGCGGTGGTGAAGTGGTTACGCCTCCGCCTCTCAATCGAAAAGTCGGATGTTCGAGGCCTAACATGATCCGTGCTGGTTGCTTAAGGGTTAGGCAACAATGCCCAGCCAGGAAAAATAACCAAACAGGTGCGCAACAGCGGTTCGCCGTTATGAGATGTACAGCTCGTGATTATTTATTTAGGAGAGTAATATTATACAGACAGGTAAACAATAAACCGCATGTACAAATCAAACCCACCAATGATCATGCAAAAAGCTATGCAGCTTATCGAGGCATGATCCTGAAAAAACCTAAGACAGAAGTTGCGAGATAATATCCGACTTGATGATTCAAAAAAAAATCTATAAGATCTCCATTATCTTTAAGAAACAATGAAATACCCATTTAGTTGATGCTAAGTTAATTGGCTTAGATTATCTGGTATCAGCTCGTCTGTTGGCCCTATCCCTCGTAGATAAATGGTCTTAAAACCTTTTTGATGCGTTAAACCTTGTTTTACGAACCTTAAAAAAATGATTTCTTTATATTTCAAAAATTCGGAAAGCTGTGAAAGATAGTGCTCACATTGTTGTATGTCCAAATGGACATGATGGCCAGGCTGAGTGCGGCCACGGAGAGGGTGAAAAGGACGATGAAGATGGGCCCCAGTGCTATCTTGGTCTGGCAGCCAAAGAGGGTCATGCAGAAGCAGATTAGAGCCAGACACGCCATGGACTCGGCCACCGCCACTTGGTTCATTACGCTGCACAACAAACACGTAACATAGAATTAGTTCTTTTTAAACCAGCAAAAAATACAAAAATACGCATAGATATCAATTTTATGACTCCACTTTTGGCTCTACACGTTTAGGATTTCAGATTGTGTTTGAAAGGACTTTGGAGTGATCGTTCAACCTCGCGAAGACCAATGAGTTTTGTTGAAACTTACTGGTGAGTGAATAAAACAATGGCAGTAAAATTTATATGGCCTCAGTTGAATTTTGTTGAAAAAATTATTTATTTGAGAAAATTTTTAGCTTGAGAAACGTTTTTTTTTTTTCATTTCCAAAGTTGATCTGACGAAGAATGATGATATGATATAAATGCTTATCATAAGCTGCTGGTTCATTTAAACCTGGCTAGAATGCCCAGCATATATCCAGTAGCAACGGACTGAAACATATCAAATTGTTTCATCGCAGAGACTGGGGAAACCCTAATGCCAGAAAGCCCGAATCCCTAAAAGTTTTCAGCCAATCAGAATTCAAAACCGATATTACCAAAATAAGCAATAAACTCCGTTCCCGGTGGATAGAACTGAAAGATTAGCTTGGATTAGACTTGTTAAAAAGACCATTGATATTTTTTGTGATGATGGGTTTGTTGCTGTGACTATATAGGAATGAAGTGCTGCGTACGAATATGGTGAGGAATATGTAGTTGTAGGGCACCCTTCGTCTGACTGTCTTGCTGCAGATGATCACTATGTATACCACAATGAACACCCCACTAAGCAAATGGAAATTAATGAAAGATAGCTAAATAAGAATGTATATTCTTTCAAAAAATGTGTTTGTTTACTTTTCAAGAAATTTTTGTATGAAGATGGGCCCCGGGTTTTGTTAACGCTTGAAATTTAATTGCAATCAACCTCGAAAATTTGATAAACATATTTGGTATTATGCATGAGACGATAGCTCATCGCAAACGAAAGGGGAAGAAGGTACACGACAATTGTTAGCATTGCTAATAAGAACAATTAGCAGAACTTATGATTGCACCGAGTTATTGTTAGAGTTTTTTTCAGAATAGACATGATAGTTATGTAGAAGTGAGTCGTGTCTCACAATGCGACGCCCAGCATGATGAGAGGCCAATTGGAGCTCGAATCAGAATCGCCATTGATGAATTCCCTCACTGGTCTCACAAATGCAAACAGAGCAACTATTCCAAAAGTCACCAGCAGTTGGAAGCTCAGGATCGCATACACCTACACACTCTGATTCTGTTGACTAAGAGAAGCAATGATAATATCAAAAATTAGCCTAGATGTTGCAATAAAAATATAAAATCAAATGCTCAAATAAAGTAGTATAAATTCTAGAACCTTGCTGCACCCTAAAATCAATTCAAAGTATCAAAAATGGAATCGCAGGAATTACTACACTTAAAGAGGTTAGCATAGCAATTCATTCACGAAGCGCAAACTTAGCCTTATCAAGATACATTGTTCAAAAAATGTTGATGAAATTGAACAGTTGCTCGGCGTGATGATCGGGTTCAACAACAAGAGCTCTATTCCCCAAAAAAACGCCCCTGTATAGTTAAGACAGCAATTAAATTGACATTAGTTAAACACTGAAGCTACCAACTCTTTAACCCCATTATATTTAACCCCTTATTTTTACACCCACTAGTTTATGCCCGGAAACAAGATAACCCCGCAACAATTTAACCCTCTTTTAATAACGATAATTTAATTGCAAGTTAAGTCCTGTTACAACTACAATAGTATTCCTACTAATTGAGGCCTGAGAAGCCATTCTTAATTACTTGATACCTCTAGCATCTCAAAAATTAATTAATTGCTATAAGCTGAAAGAAATAATCCCTAAGCCGCGCATTTAAAACATCGATAACCCACATGGTGCTAATTAAAGGCCACAAGAGACTGTTAAAATTTTTTAAATAAAATCAAATTACCTAACACTAGAACTATCGTTGTATCATTCTATGAGCTTTGTTTGAAGCGACCTTCCATTTTATTTATTCTTACAAATACAAACAACCATTAGTGGTATCAGGCCACGAGTATTATCTTAAACGTAAGAACAAAACCCTTACGAACTGGAACTGCTCAAAATATGAAACTCAAAAAAACCGGGCAAAACCTCAGCCGCATTTAGCAGCTTGCATGTTATTTCTTTTTTTTTGGCAAAAATTTTTTGCTTTTAAAGCTTGGATATTTACCGACTCTAGGGTTCCGAATTCCTTTCAAGCAAGTTTCACTTTGATTCTAACAGTTGTTATTAAAAAGATTTTAAATTGTAAGGGCCTTATCTAATTCTGGGGTTATATAAGATGGGGTGAAGAAAAAGGGGTTACAAAGCGCGGTGTGAAAAGCCTGGGAACCCAAAATGAGACATATTGATCAGTAATACGTGATAAGAGAACGCCCGTTAAACTCAAACTTACCAAATCGAAACTATAGTTATCAAGTTTTTCTAACTTTGCAAATTCTCTAACTTAGAAAAAACGAGGAGTTGAAAAAACCTGTAACGAATACACAAAAAAATGGTCAAAAATACTAGTGGTGGAAAATTTTTCTATCCTCTGATTATCGAAACCATATTTAAATGGCAACAAACCCAAATAATTGTTTTTTATTTATGAGGATATGTCTTCCAAAACAAGTTAGCAAGGACAATGAAACTAAAACTAAAGTAAAACTGTTCGTATCGGGGCAAAACCTTGAATTTTCTGACTGCCTAAGGTCTATGGAGCAGCAATAACAAGAAAAAAGTTTTGAAAAAAAAAAAGAATTTTTTTTTCTCTAAATTTGAGACTTTTTGTGAAAAAAAATGCCACACGCCATATAAAATACAAAGTGATAGATTTTGCTCCTAGTAGCCAATCAATTATGGCAAATAAGGTTCATTCAGCCAATTTGCAACAATTTCCAGGCTAATTTGAATCTTCGCTTACGCGTTAATAGCGTGAAATTTTTTCGGGCGTTAATTGTCCCAAATAAACGAAAATGGCCGTTTTTAAATCTCGTTAACTTAATGAAAAATAATAACAGGTGAATGTTTTTTCAACGCTATTCATTTAAGTATTGATTCTAACATAAGACTCATTGTGTATGAAAAAATTTGCTCAGTAAATAACGAGAGTCACTGTCAGCTTAAGGGTGACTACCAGTCGTAACCTTCAAAAAAAATACATTAAAACGCTGTTTTGGATTGTTTTTTCATATTTCGCGTGTGGCGCAGCTTTTTTAAAATTAGGATCTCTAGGTTGTTCCGAGAGAGGTCAAATCATCAAAACAAGTCGACAAAACTTTTTAATTTTTTTGAAATTTCCCTGCCCCATAGAAACTCTTAGCTATAAGCTTGTCACTTGTCATTTGATATGTTCTGCTGGACGTAAGAAGGAAAGAGTGACTGGCTTTGCAAATAAATCCTTGTCTGAGTGCGGCATCAGTGCACTGTGATATTTTGCAGTGTGTGTCTGCATAGTTGTTTGGGTAGTAGTCTACCTCCAAATCCCCACGCGGTTCAGCTGCTGCATCATCTGGAAAAGTAATTGCATCAGAAGTTGACTGAAACGCTTAATGTAACCAAAAATGAAGCATAAATGCATTCAAATTGTAGAGCCGAAATTTATGACTGAAACTGTTTTTTTAAAATGGAAAAAATGATTGTTTGAATTTTCTCTTATGGTGTTCATTGGACTCTGGTAAAAAAAATCTGCGATTTTAGACCATTAACTTATAAATACCCCTTTATTCTATACATAATTCCACTTGTTCTCCTTTGCCCCGCTAGATAATTTATACACGATCCTTAATAATAGTTTACCGTTCCTGGGCTAAATTTGGATGCCAGAATTTAGTTTACAAAAGTTGGAGCTGCAGCACAACTTGCGTCACCATATGAATACTCTTTTGCTTGAATTCAAAAGCGCAGTTTTTGTCTGCGAATTTTGTTTAAGAGCCAAAAAAACATATTTTTGTTTTACGTTACAACCAGATCTTGAAACTTTGGAGTAAGGTGTCGTTTTTTCTGTCCCGTTTTCTGTAGCTCCAAATTAAGCTCGTTGGGGTCTGATAAAAAGACACCTGAAATTGGGCCGTCCTGGCCTAATGGTGTTCTCCCATTTGTTTTAGATTTGTTTTTGTAAGTTTATTATAATCAGTTTTAGTGGTTAGTGGACACTAGAGAGCATCAGAGATCAATCGGAAGGTTTCCTCTTCTTACATTTTTCGAAAATTTGGGCACCCATAAAATACCCTTGAAAAATAACAACAGACTAAGCAGACCTTTTGTTGCGTCATCGTAGTTTGGGGGAGATGACTGTTGCGGGTCGACAAAGCCAATTGTTGTTTCTCTCTGTTCCAGTTGCGCCATGCTCGGTTCCCTCTCCTTTTGTATCTTTAGGGACATTCTTAACAATATGAATCGGAGATGTATAATCCAATTGAAAGCAACTCGTTAAACTAAAATTAGAAATCTTGTTGCTGGTTGGGGTAGAGCTGCCTTGTTTGCAATTCAAATAACAACATCAACGACCCCAAATTTCTTAACATAGTTACTCATAATTTCAGAGTATTATTTTTGGTCATAATCAACGATTTATTCTTTGGTATTTCGGGTAACTTATATCGGATCTACTCAAATAATATAATAAATTGATTTCAGGCTAGTATACCAGTAGTGCTAGTTATAAAACTACCGCATTTACAACCATAAAACATTAGCCTGAGAGATAGTCAAGAGACATTCTGGTCAGTTTTCAGATTTCTCTGAGCGGTAAAATTAAATATATTTTTTAGTAACCTAATTCCGATTTTTATCGGCGTCGACCAGAACGCAAAAATTCAAACGAATATGAGCTTTCATAAAAATGAAGAAAAAGGAGAAAATATCGAACTTAACCTGTTGAGATAATATTTAAATTTCCTAGCTGTGTATTATGTTCAATGAATATCATTGTTCAAATGAAGTTGTCCAAAAACGGAGATTTTTATTTGTGACTGTTTTGGATTTTTTTTGGGTAAACTCATCCCGTTTTATTCCATAGTTAAAGACACAACTGAGCATTTTTCTTAACCTTATATGCAATGAGTTCTTTTCTAAATTGCATCAGTTGTGAAAATTTTCGAGTTTCCTCTTTGTTTTGGTATCGTACTTACGTTTTCATGGGTTATTACGTTGAGTAAAGTATCTATCGGGCAATTTTTTGGCTTACTTTATTACGTTGTTAAAAATTTCATAAATGTGAAGTTCATTAGATTTATACGTTTTGTGAGCTGCCCGTGCAAATCTTGTTGTGTTGAAACTACGCCTCAAGAACGTTGTTCTGTATAGTCTCTTGAGATCAGTTGATTCATAACATTTTTCTTTAAAAAATTGATTTTAAAACACTAATTTAGAAAAAAAAAGGTTGCACAAATGTGCTTTGTATACACGTATCAAACGTTTCTTGTCTAAAACCTTTCCCATGTGACAGAAAATACCGGAAAATGTTTTCTTTTCCTGAGAATAGAAACGTGATTTAAAAAACTCAAATAAATGTTTTTCGTTAATCCTAATTAAATAAAAATTTTCCTTGTTTAACTGTCACTTTGATTCATTTGAGCTTCACTAACAACTTTCTTATAATTTTTTGAAATTCATGGTTTTTTTTATTGTTATTGAAGATGAGAATGTTTTTTCAGCCAACGCTCATTTTTGTTTAGCGATGTTTGATGATATTGACGAATTAATCATTCAATGCTGAAGTTAAAACTGCAGTGACTTCGGCAAAAAAAAAGATAAATCATTTATCAAAATAACTTCAAAAGAGGACCATACGATCAGCACTGCATCACTCCATATAAAATTTTGTTCAGTGATGATACACGATATACGTTTACGAATATACCTAAACTGTGGCCTTGTTTGCAATATAAGATGTCAAAAGTCAAAAACGGGAACACCAAAATTGTAAAAGTTTTCTAGAAATTGAATATGATCAACCGTGGCGAAAGTTTTTTTTAGGTCAAGCAAAGTACAATGCATTGCTTTCTTTTGATTGTCCCACTCAAGAAGTATCGTTCTGACAAAAGACGCTACGGCATCCATTGGAATTATGCCTTGCCTGAAAGTTTTTTGATTCTTGAAAAACTCGCTTTTTTTTCTATTGTGAATTAGTTAATCAAATATTTTACCCAAAGCGGGAAGTAGGGAAATTATTTTATATTTTTACTGGTTTACGTTCAGATCCTTCCTTATGAACTATAATGATTTTTCGCAGTTTTTAAGCACGCTGGAAAATGGCTTTTTCAAAGCATTTTTGAAGGAATATTTCTCAGTACTGGCCTATATTCGTTAACTATCGGTTTCAAGAAAAAATATTTCAAAATGAAACAATCTGTACTATATTTCGATTTTAACTTTTGTAAACTCTAAAGCAGTTAAAATCTTTAAATCGGCCCTAAACCATTACTCGTAAAATTTGTCGCCAATTCTCAGCTATGCTGCTTTTTTTACATGTAAATTATTTATTGAATTTTTCGATGTTCTTACATCGAAATTTTTTTCATTATTTTATGGTTCTTTTTACCGGTTACCTCATTGACCATTTTGAAAAACTCCCTGCAATTATTTCTAGCTGCTGTGCTAAACTTCTTTAGGTACTGTTAATATTTTTGTCACTTATCAGATGCTTATTTTTCTGCCTGCTCATTAAATATTTCACCGTTTAAGGACGTTTTCACAAACGAAGTGTCTAAAGTTGTATCAATAATCTGATAATTTTGTCCTGAAAATTTCTCTGAGGCTCTGTATAAACTTGAGTTTAGTCAATTTGTTCCATTTTCTGTATTGGAAAGTCACTTGAGTTTTTTATTCAAGTTTTGTTTTGGTTTCATATAGAGTAACACAGAATATTGATCCGTAATTATTATTCTGGGAATCTTTAAGCAGATCACATTGATAGAATAAAAGTCTAAAAACAGTTTTAATCTACTTGCTTCACGTGTCGTTGTTTTTGTGTTTAGTAATTTCAGAGTCGATCAGTTTGATAGCTCAACATATTTGTTCGAAGTTCCTACACTACTTATGTTGAATTCACAGCAAACAAGTTGCGTTGCATTAGGAGGAAAGCTATGATTCCAAATAATTTTTCATATGTAACAAAAGTTTGTTTTTAACTGAGCTAGGGGATAAACACATGGTAAAAATTGTTTTTCGCATTTGCTTTGATCTCAATAAACAAGCTTTGTATTTTGTTTGAAAATATTTCATTTATTATCTGGTAATTTAAATCGTCACTGATTTAAGTTCCAACGCCTCCTTCCAATTCCAATCCTGTTTCCTTAGGACAACACGCCTCAAAGTTATGGTTGTCACCATTTTTATTAACAAATTTAATTTGTTCCTCTAAACTGCGTTGCTTTTCCTTCAATTTTTCTTTTATTACAGTTAAACCCTCGAATTTTTTTGGTAATGATCACGCTTTTTGTAAAAGAACAGTATCCGTTTTAATCCAAGTTTGGATTAGATCACCTGATATTTCAGCTCGACATAAGAAAAGTTCATATCTTTGTTAGCTTATTTTTCTGGTTTTAACTTTGATAAAACAGATGATGAGTAAAAACAAAATATGACACAAAAAAAATTTTAAATATCTCAATCCAAACATTTATAAATGTCAAAGAAAAAACATACAGGCATGATAAGAAAAAAAGTGTGCAAGGAGTTTGATAAAGATATTGGGACTCACCGCAAAAGTCACAGAACACCGAATCAAATTAATTTGAACATTATCTTTTAATCATTTGTTTTTTGAGCTCATTTCAGATTTTCCTTGTCTCCTTTCTACGCGCTGCGTAAATCACAACATAAAAAGACTAACCGCTCAAACCAGAGGCAGTACTAACAGAAAAAAAGCGCAAAAGAGAAGAAAGTGTTAATTCTTTTCTCTGTTTTTATCAAAAAAAAACTGAAATTGGTTTCAGTGAAAAATCAAGGTTTAAGAAAACAAAAATTGATCTTTGAACAGAGAGAAAAAATGAAAAGTAGGGAGTCAAAAACGAGACACATGGGGCCTTATAAAAACAATCAATTTGAAAAAAAGGTAAAAAAAGTAATTTCTTTTGCTCATAGGCAACTCATAAGCAAAGATTAAATCAGACAATTTTATCAATACAAATGATTCTCATTGAGTTTATATAAATCTCAATTTTACTTTATCAGTCTAATTAATTTTTAGTTTTCTGCAGATTAGCGAGTGCTCAGTATTGGTTTTACCTGCCCGGTTTGTTTCTGGTTTGTTTGTTGCTGTATCTTGTCTCTTTGCAGCTGTTGGCTGCAAACGAACAGACTCTCAACTTTTGTGACTTTCACGACTTTTTGCTCGTTTTCATCAGCTAAAAAAATTGGCACAATACAATTTTTTTTGCTGATATCAGTCCCAGCAGTCCCCTGTCTTTTGCAAACGCTCTTATTTCTGTCTTGTACTGAGACGAATTCTCACAAATATAAATATTGTTTCTATTGTTCGGGTTTACTTTTCTTCTTAACTGTGGTCGAGCACTGTATATTTTGTCTTTATCATCGAAATAGATAAACTTACACATTACACTTGACACAAAGTTGTTTTTGTCCGAAAAATATGCCTTCTTCCGCTATGTTTTTTTTTTCAAACATTTTGTTGAAATTTAAAGTGTACCTTGTTACATTTAAGTGTCCCGGCTTGCATTGAAAAGTAGTTTTTGAATAGTCAAGTAATCCTTGCTTGCTTCTCTTACTTGGATTTGCATTCTATCATTCATATTATCATGTTTTTAATCCAGTTTTTTGAACTTTTACATCATAATCTTTTGTTAAAGCCAGTAATTCCAATAGTTTATTTTGCCAATCACTCACATCGAATGTTCCCTTTTTACTAGTACTCAAGGCAGCCTCTTGATTTATCACAGCACCCACGTTTAATATCGTTAAACAAACGATAAGGATAAAAAACATTGACCTCGTTTTGTAATCTTTTTCTCGTTTCCAAAGATATACGTCTCATTTGATAGTTGATCAGACTTGTTCACTCTGTATTTTGTATGTGAGTTTAAAAACCCTTTAAGGTTGAAAAATATTCAATAAATTAGTATTTTTTAAGCTGTTTTGCTCAATTAGACAGATTTTGGAGAAATGCTCTGGAAAAACAATCGAAAATCTTTTTGTCGAATTGAAATTTTTCATCAATGCATATCAAGTTCGACCGTTTTTCGTCTTACGCCGCAATGGTAAGTCAAAAACGTAAAATAATTCTGCCCTTCGTCGATAAACTAAACATCCCTCCCCCTCGCTTTAAGAAAGGTGATAGATTGCTTAATCGATTTAGTTATTTGAATGTTCGACCAATCATAACGCAGCAAAAATAGTATTCTCAACAGAAAACTCTTATTTGTGTGCTTTATACTAGGATGGAATTTTTTTAGTAGATGCCATA